ATGTTACTTAAGTCAACCTTGGGTTAACTATCGAGGGCGGATCTATACCATCCATCCACGCACTTTATCCAATCCCCTAGGCCTGCAGTTACACCACATCTATCTGGAAGTGGTAGTGAAAATTACGTTTCAAAACACAAATATCATCACTCAGTTTGCGAAAAAATTACGCATAATTTGGCCTCATTGATACCATTCTCCACTGGTATCATCAAAGCACTGAATATTCTACTTCTCAGTTATTTTGTTGAAAGAATATGTTTTAGATCTAACAAGGAAATTAAACATCTAAATGTAGCATCAAAGAATATATTTCCAAAAAAATAAATCAATATATATGTATACGCATACCTATAGATAGAGAGATGTCATACACACATAGATAGATACGGTATAGTCATCTGACCTCATATATTAGTTTATTTTCGAAATAATCATTTCTCTTCAAGAGCAAATTCTGATTTTCATCATTTTTATGACACTTCTTTTTCAATATGTGAATACAATAACCTTTTCTTAATATTTAGGGTTGACCTTAGAAATGCAAGTTAATGTCCTCTCCTGAAATACAGCAATGCCCTTGGGGCCTATCATTGTGCGTAGAACTCTCTTTCTACTTAGACTGAAAGACTTCAATTTGGGGGGAGAGAAGGTGTCTGTTTTTGATTACTTCTTGGCTTGTTGGAGAATGTCTGTCTCCTCAAACGAGAGAACGAGAGATTATCACTTCTCCCTGCTGTCACGGGTCTGCCTCTAACGCTCTTCTGTCCTCCACGCCCAACCCCCACCACATCACTGGATTTTCTGCTTCTAAAGGGCTCATTAGAACTATTCGGTCACTCATTTACTCACTCTACAAGTATCTAATAAGCCACTCCTATGTGCCAGACACTGTCCTGGGGATAGCATACAACCTGTTCTCGTGGAACCCACAGTCAGTGGGTGCAGGTAGATCTTAGTCAAAGAATCACACAAAGAAATGTCACATCAGCTCTGACGAATGAGACACTACAGCGCAATCGAGAACCTGGAACTGACTGGGGAGGCCAGAGAAGGCTTCCTTGAGCAAGTGGTGGTTGAGTTGAAATCCTGAAGAGGTAACTCGGTGAGGAGGGGCATGGAGAGTATTCACAGGAGAGGGAAACACACGTGCAAATGCCCTGTGGTTGAAGAGAGAGAAGAGAACCCATGACATAGGACTCCCACGGCTGAGACCCTGGCCTTTTGGTCTCTATTCTAAGAGCAATGGAAGACGGTTGAAGTATGAGTGGGTGGGGGAGAGGTGACAACAAATTTTGCACTTTGAAAACATCATCTTGGCTGCAAGATGGAGGATGGTTTGGACATGGCAAGCGTGTACATCCAATAGGAGAGTGTGGTGATAAATCCAGCAAGAAATGAGGGTGTCTTGGACTAAGGTAGGAGTTCCCAACTCACAGAACTTGGGTGGAAAAACAAGCACATCTTTATTTTCACCAACTTCTGATTGAAATTTAGTATTTCCTTCCATGATGAATGTAACAAACCACAGTAGTATCTGCGGCACCTGCAACTTTGCAACCAAGAGGAGTCACAAGAGTCTTCAGCTGACATTACAGTAGCTGCAGATACATCAAGATCACTGATGTTCATCATGGCTTGACAATTACTATCGTTAGGCCTGCCACTGTATCAAATTACACGATGCATTAATAAAGAAGTACATATATTGTTATAACTCAATTTTTTAAATATTTTGATAACTGTGTCTTAACATAATTAGTTTCCTTTGTAATCCTATGTATTTTATTTAATAAATTTGAGTCTTCTTCTGAAAAGGGGCCCATAGGCTTCACCAGACTGCCAAAGTTTTCCACTGCACAAAGTAAGTTAAGCACCCCTGGGGGTGAAAAAGAGAACTATTTAGAAGGTCAATGCGGCTTGACCTAGATGAGCTAGGATGAAGGAAGGTGCCTAGGATGGTTCCTAGGAGTCTGATTGATGCAAGAGGGTGGACAGTGAAGCTCTCATTGTTTCACTCAAGAGAGAAAACACTAGAAGAAAAACACCACAACAGCTATGGATAAAGTACAAGTTAATGGACTTGGGGGCATTTAGTTCAGCCATTTTTTCCTCACTTTTTTGGGTCTCAGTGAAGTTGTAGATAATGAGAAATATTGGTAAACTAGGGTCACCATGAATAGAGACACGCACATATATAAATAGGAATTGTTATCAAGAAAATTATCTTTCTATTCACAAAACAGTGTCCTGTTACAAAGTAGTTTTAATATTCACAAATGAAACAGTTATCAAAAAGCCTGCCCTTTCCCCTACAAGATTGTTTTCCAGGGGATTCCATTTCTTTTCCCGGAGGACTCCAGTTTTATTAAAACCTCCAGTTAAGCAACGGATGTCGTCACGCAGGGTCTTCTTTCACTGGGTCCCAACCTCCGTTCGATTTATTTAAGACCAAAAATCCTCCTGCAGCTCCTTCAGAAAATCAGAAATGGCATCAACCCAATTATCCTCATTATTTTTATTTCTACACATGAGCAACATATGGACTTTGCCAAAACAATTAAACAAGCTTAAATCATGAGTCACTAGCCAAACAGCTCCCCCAGTGACTTCATCCAAGCCTCCTGCCAGCAATCCCATCAGGCATCTGTTGGATTCCAGGCGAGGGAAGGGTTGCCAACAGGAGAGTTTAAATTCAGTGTACGTCTCCACCCCTGTCTACCTTCCAAACTGTATAAACTTTCTAAACACTAATGCATTCGGAACAAAGTCTTACGTGTGAGAGTCAGGGGATCTAAGTACTGGTTTGTCCTTGGCTCTGCAGAACTTTATAGAAAGTGTCTCATTTTCTGCTGTTTTTCCTTTTGCCTATAGGAAGAAGACTACAGGGGGCCAGCCCAGCAGTGTAGTGGTTAAGACTGCACATTCCAAGTCAGCTGTGGGGGGGGTTCCTGGGTTCAGACCTACGCACTGCTCGTCAAGCCATGCTGTGGCGGTGTCCCACATATAAAAAAATGGAGGAAGACTGGCACAGATATTAGCTCAGGGACAATCTTCCTCAAGCAAAAAGAGGAGGATTGGCAACAGATGTTAGCTCAGGACCAGTCTTCCTCACCAAAAAAAGAAAGAAAGAAAGAACACTTCAGGCAAGAAGAAATTCAAAAGCTGGTAGACAGTTTTTTGAGAAAGAGTGGTTTTCCTTGCCCCTCTCCTTCTCAGGTGTCCATGCACATTGTGCCAGCGTGTGACTCTTGCAATGACTTTTTTTCTTTTCATTTTCTTTTGCCCATTCACCAGGCCCCGACTCTCCCTGCAGAAAAATCCCAAAGAAAACAAAGCCATGGAGATTTTATTTTTAATGCCCCCGCATCAAGAACCCTATGATTTACACCATGCCAAGTGAAACCCATTTCATCTATCCTACTTTCAAATTTCTGGAACTTAATACAAAATGTAAAATATTTTATTTGATTAATGTACCTATCAAGTGTTTTATTACCACTTTTGAGCATATGCTCTAGACAAACTTTATTCAAAGGCATTAACTGCTATAAATAGGCTGCTTCTCAAGACAGCCAGCTCTTCTCTGATCTATAAAGCATTTCAAGAAAAAGTTTTGTATCAAACTGATTAATTTGAAAAGAAATTTTTCAGATTAAAGTCCGCCTGGCAGTTCGATGAGCTTAGCCAGGTGGCTAGACACATTTCTGGAACTTTATATTTCTCATTTCCTATTACATAAAGGATATAGAGTAGATGTTGAAGTAGGAGAGAACTTAGGAAAAAATACGATAGCATGCTTGTAAATGTCTGTCTCATACAGACGATATGATCTGCATTCTAGGCAAGAGAGGCATATTTGCTTAACTTGTTCATCTAACAAAGCAAAACAAAATCTGCATGTCTTCGAAGTTTTTGAATGATTCGTTGCAAAGCTTCAAAATACAAACCAGCAAAAAAGAAAAAAATATTTATCATTGGCTGATACCAGACCACAGGAAGAGGGGCGCCTCATGACCAACTGAACCAGGGCTTTAACGCTGTCACGCCTCTCTCTCCTCCCTCTCTTTCCCCTCTCCTCCTCTCTCCTCTCTGCCGGCTGGCTTTATTCTCGAAGATCGCCTTTATCTACCGGCTATAACCAGAGCTACTTACGGTTCATCTATTTGCATCTTCCCAGCATCAAGGCAAGAGAGTAAAGAAACTCTCCTTCTCTCCTCCTAACCTCTGTTTTTGTAAATGCCCAGGAAAGATGCTGATTGGTCTAATTTAGGACACGCCCATTCTCAGACCAATCATTGTTGCCAGGGAATATGGCACTGCGGTTCGTTCGCCCAGCTCGCGCCAACTTCTCGCCCAGTGACAAGCACAATGCCAGGGAGTTGAGGTCAAATAAAAAAAATCAACTCCCTTTCGAATCATTTATTAGACCAGCACCTTCCCGAAATACAGTCTCAGAAGGAAGAAGGAGTACTAAGCAAAAAAAATAATAACTGCTCACTGCATTTATGGGGCAATTATGGTAAAGACTCCACAGTCTTTGCCAGGTAAGATTTTTGCCTTGGTTGACATTTAAAGTGCCAGAGATCAACGTAAATTATTTTATATCAAAGCCCTTGTTTCCTCCAAAATAAAATTGTAATCGTATGAATCATTAATAGTGATGTAACATGAAAAGGAATAATGCTGGGACGCAGGGGGAATAAGGAGATGTTGGTCAACGGGTACAAAGTTTTAATTATGCAGTTTCAATTACAACTAAGTGCTGGAGATCTAAGGTGCAGCATGGTGACTAGTTAATAATATTGCATTCTATACTTGAAATTTGCTAAATGTTGTTAAATGTCCTCACCACAAAAAAAAAAAAAAAGGTAACCATGTGAGGGGATGGACATGTTAATTAGCTTGGTTGTGGTAATCATTTCACAATGTATACGTATATCAAAACATCACGTTGTACACATTAAATATATACAGTTTTTATTTGTCAATTATACCTCAATAAATCTTGAAAAAATAAATTGATATAGTACATTTTTAGCTTTTCCCAATTAAAAAGGAATACTTCTATAGTGACATTACGTGACTTTTTTTTCCATTTCTAGCATTCTTTGATATTCAAGTAGGTCTTTCTGGAAGTAAAACAAAACATTGAAGGGTTCTTTTTCTCGTCATTTATAATAGGCTACGTTAATAATTTTAGAGAGCCGTTAATGACCTTCCCACATAAAAATAAATGCTCTAGAATTGTTCTAATTCAGCAATGTCAGCAGTGCCCAGGCACTAAATGAAAGTACCGTAAACGTGTTATTAGTGGAAATGACTATTTCCTTCATCACACAGACATCATTGGGCAATACCAGGAGCCAGTATAAAGGGCTCTTCCATTCAGTGTTGGACACCACAACCAAATGACACAGACCCAGAGGAGCTGGAGGATAGCCATGACCTCAGGCGAGTGACTTCACTCCTCTGGGCCTTCCTTTCCTTGGCTATAAAAATGATAGGATCGGGGTAAATAAACTTTAAGGTGTTTTCCAGTTCTAAAATATTATAATTCTAAGAGAAAATAAGTTAGCTGGATTGGGACAAAAAGAGCCAATATTTTTATCACTTAGAGTAAAGCCAGTTGTCAGCCTCTTGTTTATTAAATGTTTGCATGGCTCCTTCTCGCCCTCTGGGCTGGGTGTCAGGGGCACAGATGAGTACATTGTGGTCCTTGTCCTCAAGAAGCACACAGGCTGGGGTGCCGGGAGAGACAGGCGTGTAAACAGATCATTAAAATGCAATGTCGCAAGGGCTCTGGGAGAGTCACAGACAAGGAGCACAGGGCAGGAAGTGACTAACTCACCCTGGGAGACGTCTCACAGAAGAAGTACTGTTCAACACGAGCCTGGAAAGGTGAGTTCAATAGATCATCTGTGAAGATGGCCAAGTTTGAGAGAGGAAAATCTGGACAGGAGAGAAAGCATGTGTCAAAGGAGCCCAGAACGTTCCGAGAAAGGAAGTCTGGTAAGAGTGGGACAGGTATGGGGACTTTCTCCCATTGATGGGAAGAGCCGCTGAAGGCCTTCACAGAGGAGACTGGCGGCACAGCACGCTCAGACCTGCCTTCTGGCAAGCTCCCTGGCAGCAGTGTGGAGAGTGGATCAAAGGAAAAGGGCCTGAGGGCGGGGACACTGAGCCATTGGGAAACTCCTGCATTTATAGTTGAATGAGCTGGTGAGAGTCTGGGTTAAGGCAGTGGCAGGGGCAGGGGAGAGAGAAGACAGGTGCTACCAAAGCAGGAGAAGATTCTCCTGGGGACCATGAACTGAATCACATGTACCATGTTGGGGAGAAAAAATTTTCTTGTACCCTCTTAGGTTCAGTGCCTAGGGCCTGTGACTTACACCAACAAAAGACAGATTAACAGAACAAAGTATTAACTTTTGTTAATATTTTTATGCATAGAAGTTCACAGAAAAGAAGTGAAACTCAGAAGAGTGGTCAGACTCAGAAGCTTATATACTGTTTTAACAAAAGAAAGGGGGTTTGGGTTTCAAGAGAGGATCAATCATGGGGAAACGACCAGGAAATATATTTGGGAACCAGTGGAAGATAAGTTATTTTATTAAGTTCTCTTTGTGCAAGCCTCTCTTGATGTCAACTCCTCATCTTTTTCTTCCCTTCCCGGTGGCATGGGAGGCCACCTTCACAAAGGGAAATGCCCTGCTCTTAGGCAGATAAAGAGAGGGCAGGGAATTCTTCCTGCATCTGCTGATTCTCAATTGCCTTCAACTCAAAATAATCCTTATGCCAAATTGGCCTACTTGGGGGTAGCATATTCTGATCCCCTTCAACTACATGTGTGGTTTTGAGTTTAACCTCACTGAGCCCTACTTTCCTCACCTCCAAAACGAAGTGAGGAAACTTTGCAGATTTGCAATTAAAATAAAATGACACAATCCATTTAAACCACTCAAGACGATAGTAAGGGCTCAACTAATATAAATCATCACCATTTTTATTATCATGCACCACTATCCAATCCTCCCTGAGGGAACAGGGCCAAGCAGAGCTGGCCAGTCCACCTGACATTGGCATGAGGTCATTGCAGGCTGGGGTTCAGTGAGTGAGAGACCCCAGAATGATCTAGAGTAGAAAGAGCTGAAAACGAGGGAATAAGTATCCTTTGGGTGCCAAGTGTCAAAGCTAGAAATGTCAAACTCTGTCATCAAGGCCACGGGACTAGCATGGTGGCAGAAATGGGAAACAAGGGCAGGAAGGTCAGGAAGATGCAAGGACTAAGTGGGAAACCAAGAGCAAGACCCCCAGGCGATTTGTGCGCACGTGAGAGGGTCAGAAGCACTGTTCCCAAAGGCAAAATACCCAACCCCAAAGCTGAGTTCAAGCCTCAAAGTCACTTAGGTCTACAGTCTCCTTACCCTGGTTCTCATCAAGACATAAACCTCTGGAGAAAGAGAAGGATTCGAGCCTGGGTCAACAGTCCTAGACATAGTCTAGATATCAAAGTCCAGATGAGAAATGGAATGGGACGATTCCATAATCTTCTCCGAAAGGAGCTGGAAGCTGATTTGCTTACATACCCTCATACAGGAGAGTGTTTCTGTCTCATATTTGTGGCCTCGCGGCAGTGTTCTCCCACCATCTGGTCATTGCTGAGCACCTTCCATGTGCCAGGCACTCTCCTAGCTGCCGGGGACACCACAGCAAAAGAAACAGGCAACAGTCCCTGCCTCCAAAAAGCTTACATTCTAAGGGGAAAGAAAATAAATCAAATAAGTAAAAAAATGTAGGATGCTAGATGGTGTAAGTTTTATGGAGGAATATAAAGCAGGGAGGAGGAATATAAAGACAATATCAGTAGTTTGCACTTTTAGATAGTGGAGCCCAAGTAGGCCACCCTGAGAAGGTGACATTAAGTCAAGACCCAAGGAGATGACGTAGCAAGCTAGGCAGTTATCTGGGGGAAGAGCGTTGCAGGCAGAATAAAGAGCCAGTGCGAGGCCCTGGGGCAGGAGTGTGCCCCGCCTGCTTGAGGAACAAGGAGTCAAGTGTGACTGGAGAGGAATAAACAAGAGGAGTAAGAGAGTTGGCTGGAGATCAGCACAGGGCCAGACCCTTTTGGACCTTACAGAGCACAGCTAGAATTTTCGCTTTGACTTTGAGTGAGATGGCAAGCAGAGAGGGCGTAGTGTGGTCTGACGTGTTATAACTGGACCACTCTGGCTGTAGTGTCAAGGATGGGCAGCTGCAGAGGGAGCAGTTTAGGAGGTTGTTGGAAGAGTCCAGCCAAGAGATGATGGGGTCTTGGAGCAGATGGTAGCAGTGGCAGTGGTGAGCAGAGGCTGGATTCTGGAAAGTGAGTGAAGGGAGAGCCAAGAGGATTCCCTGGCTGGTTGAATGTGGATGACAAGCTTTTTGGCCTGAGTGACTGGAAAGATGGAGTTGCCGTCATCCGAAATGGGGAAGGCTGCAGGCTGAGGAGGCCAAACAAAAGAATCTGGAGCAATAGAGTATGGTGCACAGTGCTCAAGGAAAAACATGTGTCATGTTTTCATTTCACATGTTCTGGGGGAAGTGGTTTTTAGTTTGAGTTGGAAAAGGTAGTTAGGTGTTAACTTCCGCCCTACTTAAAAGCATAAATGAAGGTATCAGATTACCAAATCCTTGCCAAATCTCAACAATGACCTGGCACTCCATGCATCTGAGCAAGTACCTTGCCCTGAGCACAAACAGTGAAGGTCCAGCTCATTGCGATGGAAACCGAGGGCTGGATCTAACCAGGAAATCAGGTTAGCGCCATCCCCCGCTTCCTGGCACTCTCCCAACCGTCACCTTGATTCTCTCAAAACAAACCTTTAGTTAATGCCACTTGGTGCTTGGTTTCTTCAGTCACAGCTGAGAAGAGCCTTTCTCTGCCTTCAAGGCCACCAATGAGGCCAGGAGAAGACCTATGCAGGGCACAACGTGGCCAGGCTTGATTGACAGCTGGAGACCTTTATTTTCTGGCTTTATTGAGATATAATTGACTTATAACATTGTGTAAGTTTAAGGTGTGCAATGGGATGTTTGATACATGTACGTATTGTGAAATGTTTACCACAATAAGGTTAGCTAACACATCCTTCCCCTCACACAATTACCATTTTGTTGTTGTTGGTATGGTGAGAACATTAAGGCTCTACTCTCACAGAACTTTCAAGTATACAATAGAGTGTTGTTAACTATAGTCACCATGCCGTATGTTACTTCCCTGGAACGTCATCGTTTAACTGGAAGTTTGTACCCTTTGACCAGCATCTCCCCATTTCTCCCACCCCAGCCCCTGGCAACCACCACTTCTACTGTTTCTATGAGTTCCATGTTTTTAGATTCCACCTATTAAGTGAAATCACATGGTATTTGTCTTTCTTTGTCTGACTTATCTCACTCAGCATAATGCCCTCAAGGTCCATCCATGTAATCGCAAATAGCAGGATTTCCTTCTTTTTTGTGACTGAATGATATGCCGTTGTATATATGCCGTGTTTTATTTATCCAGTCATCCATTGATGAACACTTAGGTTGTTCCCATGTCTTGGCTATTGTGGATAATGCTTCAATGAATACGGGAGTGCAGATATCTTTGAGATAGTGACTTCATCTCCTTTGTATGTGTACCCAGAAGTGGGATAGCTGGATCCTATGGTAGTTCTATTTTCAATTTTTTGAGGAACCTCCATTCTATTTTCCATAGTGGCTGCACCAATTTACATTCTCATCAACAGTGCACAAGTGTTCCCTTTTCTCCACATCCTCACCAGCATTTGTTATCACTTGTCTTTTTGATAATAGCCATTCTCACAGGTGTGAGGTGATATCTCATTGTGGTTTTGATTTGCATTTCCCTGATCCTTAGTGATGTTGAGCACCTTTTCATGTACTTGTTGGCCATCTATAAGTCTTCTTTGGAAAAATGTCTATTCAAGTCCTCTGCCCATTTTTTAATCAGATTCTTTGTGTTTTTCTATTGAGTTGTATGAGTTTCTTATATGTTAGGGATTTTAACTCCTTATCAGATGTTATATATCTTCTCCCATTCCATAGGTTGCCTTTTCATCTTTTTGATTGTTTCTTTTGCTGTGCAGAAACCTTTCAGTTTCATATAGTCCGGTTTGTTGGGTTTTGCTTTTGTTGCTTGTACTTTTGGTGTCATATCCAAAATATCATTGCCAAGACGGATGTCAAGGAACTTTTTCCCTGTGGTTTCTTCTAGGAGTTTTACAGTTTCAGTTCTCACGTTTAAGGCTTTAATCCATTTCTAGTTAATTTTTGTGAGTAGTGTAAGATAGAGGTCCAATTTCATTCTTTTGCATGTGGATATCCAGTCTTCCCAATACTTCAATTTGGGAAAAGTGAAGAGACTATCCTTTCCCTATTGAGTATTCTTGGCAGTTGGAGATCTCTTCACTGAACCTTTATGAAAATCAACAAGGAATGTGCCAAGACCACCTGACATGTCAAATCCGGCTATTCTCTTAAAAAAAAAATTCACTGAATTTACACGCAGCCCTCTGAAGAACATTGGTTATCATGCAGTTTCAACACTCTGATCCTTAAAAATCATCAGACTAGTGATTTTACAGGTGATGAAAAAGAGTCTTTAGATTAGCTGGAATTACACAGCTAGTTAGAGGCAGAGCTGAAACAAAGATCCCCACCCTCCTGACCCCCATCCCAGCAGAGCCTCAGGGGTCATGTGGGTCAGCTCACTGCAGGCCGTGAGTGTGCGACAGGTAGGCCAAGAGCTGGTGGTCCACCAGTTCCTGTAGAGAGAAAACTTTGAACCTGTTTCTTAGTATAGTTGGAATTATATTTGAACAGGATTCGTATAGCTGTCTCTGGAAACACCCTAAATTCCTAATTGTCATTTTGAGCTGTGAGACTGTGTTGTAGCCTCTGCCTCCAGAGCACCATCTAGAGTGGCCACACTACACAGCACCTCCCCCAGCGGTGCTGCTCAAATATTGTGGTTTTGTCAGGACCGTGATGTGAGAAGGGTTGAGAACGTTCCCATCATTTTTTAAATTTTCTTTCTTTCTTTTTTATTTTTAATATTGGCACTTGAGCTAACATTTGTTGCCAATCTTTTCTTCTTTTTCTCCCCAAAGCCCCCCAGTACATTCTAGTTGTAGGTCCTTCTAGTTCTGCTATGTGGGACGCCACTTCAGCATGGCTTGATGAGCGGAATTAGGTCCCAGCTCAGGATCTGAACCAGCGAAACCTGAGGCTCAAAGTGGAGCACCCCAGCTTAACCACTGGGTCACCAGCCGGCCCACCATAAGCTTCTTTTTTTTTTTAGGAAGATTAGCCCTGAGCTAACTGCTGCTATTCCTCCTCTTTTTGCCGAGGAAGACTGGCCCTGAGCTAAGATCCATGCCCATCTTCCTCCACTTAATATGTAGGACGCCTACCACAGCATAGCTTTTGCCAAGCGGTGCCTTGTCCGCACCAGGGATCCGAACCAGCGAACCCCAGGCCGCCGAGAAGTGGAACGTGGGAACTTAACTGCTGCGCCATGGGGCGGCCCTTAAATTTTATTTCTTGATACTAACCATAAAATGTGTCGATATTGGTGACCTCTGCTTTTCAGCCCATCAACCCCTTGGTGATCTTTCAAGTTTCTTAGAAAGCTTGGCTGAGAGTCATCTTAGAACCAGCCTCCACTCCAACGCCAAAGGAAAGGTGCTCGGTGTGGCACGCTGTGGGAAGAAAGAGAGTGTCCCCTCATGGGCATCAGCCTCCTGGTGATGTGACCCTGTCAGGAATACTCAGGCTTCCTAAGGAAGGTGGCAACTTGGCATTCTTTAGACTGTGATTGATTTCCTCGTGGTAAATGTTGACAGTTTAAACAAGATTTGCCCTGTGTCTCAAAGTCTTTCTCTCCTCGCTGAGGATCCATTGTTTTAAGTCTTCCATGAAGGATGTATTCAATAAATGCGTGTTGGAAGAATTATTGTGACGTTTATAAAGTCGCATGACAAAATAAGAAGTGATCATGTTCATTATCCGCTTTAACTGAATGTTAGAGGAATTTTCTAAGTAGTGAGAAAAATAGTAAATGCGTTAATTCAGCAAAACAAAACAACAAATATTTGCTAAATGTTTAACTTTAAAAAAAAAGAAAAAAGATTCACTGATTGGGGCCAGCCTGGTGGCATAGCGGTTAAGTTCACACACTCTGCTTCCACAGCCCAGGGTTCACCGGTTCAGATCCCAGCACGGACCTATGCACTGCTTATCAAGCCACACTGTGGCAAGCATCCCACATATAAAAGTAGAGGAAGATTGGCACAGATGTTAGCTCAGGGCCAATCTTCCTCAGCAAAAAGAGGAGGATTGGCGGTGGATGTTAACTCAGGGCTAATCTTCCTCAAAAACAAAACAGATTCACTGAGACTAAATTCACCAGGTACCATCAATGCATAATCATCAGAAGGGTGTGACGTGATATGTAGAAAACTTGCTTACTAATTGATAAAACAACCCAAAGAACCAAATGGTGGAATGTCTCAATCACTGCTTTATTTTTTTATCCAAGGATGATGTAAAGAACATTGAAATTACTATAACATTTGGAACACTGGCAAAGCTTTCTAGCTAGAAACGTGCAACTGTAAATTAGGTGAGCTTACACGCTTTGTACCACCATGCACTCTCATGGGATTTCAGTTGCACAGAGAGCACTTAATTTCTTTGAAGAGTCATTTAGTTGAAGTTTTCATCTCTGCTCCTATATTTAAGTTCCTCCTCTACTTCTTTGTTTTGGGGGAAAGGGGAACAAGAGGTCCACAGAGTGTCACGTCATACGGATATGCAATCAATATTAACCCAAAATAACTGAAACAATATGCTGTTCGTAAAAACAGGACTTTGTTACTCTTCATGCTCTTGAGTAAGCATTCACACACGCACGCAAAAAGGCAAACACTCTAATCCCCTACAAACTAACTATGTGCGTTTCCAGGAGTGTTCACCAAAACAACATCATGGGAGTTATTCTAACCTGGATTCCTGCCCCTTTAACACACAACCACTCGACCAAAATCACACCTGCCAAATGGCCAGTTGATGCCTACCAACAAACTTCTGGGAACACTGTACTGTACTTGCAAGTGCACATTCCTAATGTTACCCATCCCTCCATCTCTTCTGTATTGTTGGAGATCATGCTAAACTGCCCATTGATCTGTCACGCCTCCAGCAGTGCCCAGTGATCAATGCCACGTGCCTGGTGAAGACTCACTATTCCTTGATTGGGGCTCACAGAAGACTTCTCAAGTCTTAGCTCCCTTGCAGTTGGGCATGCTCGTGTGCCTAGTCCTGACCAAGGGGCTGTGAGGAGAAGGGAGTGTCATTTCTGGGATGAAGCACAGAAAAGCCCAGGTGGGATCCTCCAGGGTGATGAGGAGGCAACACACACCAGATGGTGCAGCTACAAGATGGTAGAGCCTCTGTTATTGCGGGTTTCTAAATGACTGTGTGGAGCAGAGCCTCCGCCAGCTTGAGTGGAACCTGTAACAGGACCTAGATAGGAGGGTTGCTGTCTTAAACCACTAAGCTTTCTTTCTACAGCATCCTGATGAATCCAATAACTTTGGCTGGTGTTGCTTCTAAGCTGCCTGGACCAGGTATTTCCCTTATAAATGTTCTGCACATTCTGCAGCAAGCCCTACTTTCCGACCCTGGGGAAGGACACATAAATTTAGTCACACAGACCCAGAAATCCTCCAGGAGGTGCCTTCGACCTCCAGAAACACCACCTTCTCTGGCCCACCTCACCATACCTCTCCTCCTCTTCCCAGGCAGGTTCGTGGACATTCTGGAAAGACAATTGCTGGTAATCCCTATGCAGCCAGGACTCACTTCCAGGACCCTCCTCCCAGGGAGCTCATGCCCAGACACCAGCTCCCTCAGGAAACGATCCTGTCCTTGGCTGGCCTCCTGGCTCCTCGCCAGCCTGCTCACTGAATTCAATTCATAGCCCGTTTTTCTAAAAAGCAGACTCAGACTTGCCCCAGTACCTGTCACAGATGCTACTTTCTCCCTCTGTTCATAAGTAAACACTCATCTTTCTGCATTTCTTTCTCCTCTACCACAGAAAGAAGCAGCCACTTTCCACTGAGAGCCAGAAGCCAAAATCCGAACTGTTGTCGTGAGGTCACAAGGGTGATCTTATATACGGTGCCATCTATTCCATCTCAGGCCATTCCTGTGCAGCTGCTTCGAGCTAAAACTCCTCCACGCTCCACTTCTGATTTTCCAGGGTTTCCCTGTCTGTCAGTTTCAGCCTGCCCCCTCCTGTTATTTTTAGATTTGATTTTAGTCCTTATAAAGGGCCAGGGGTGAGGATAGGGAGAAAATTTTTTTCATTTTAATTAAAAGCAGATGACAAAGACAACTCAGTCATGGAAAATAACAGGAGTCACACTGTCTCTGGCTCCCATTCGCGTATTTCCTCCATCAGCTGCAAGCGAGCAGAGAAGCAACAACGCTAATTGAGTCTCCTCTGCCTTTTCCAGAAGACACACATGATCTAAGCAGATCTCACCCGAGATTCCGTTAGAGAGCTGCACGTGCTCTCCTTCCCTTTCCATTCCCCCTCACAGAGTGATTGCATTTTAGAGCTGGCAGGCAGCTTCTGTGACTATCTTCATGTTACCAGGAGGAGCCCAGGGCCAAGCGAGGTCAAGGGAGGTGCCCGAAAAGGTCCAGCCTACTGAGGTCTCTCCATTCCCACCTTCCAAGCGCTGAGCCTTGTCGAATCCATGTTTTTCAGCTGCCCAAAGAGTCCAAATAGAGCAAGAGCTCCTTGAAGTGAGGGGCCCCAGCCTTGTGTGTTCTGTCCCTCAGTTCTCAGGACCTGCACAGGCAGGTGAATGTGCACGGCGAAGCCGCTGCCTTTCACTCATTCTTCCACACACTGTTGTTGCTGTTCTCCAACCTTCCGATGAATGTTTGTTTTTTCTCTCTCTGGACCAATTTAGCCTTGTGCATACTCTATGAGCTTGGATGTCTGCTTGCCTATTAACTCAAAGACAGTTTAATTCCAGATTTTCTTCCAAGACTTCATTTAGATTCAGTCTTCAACGTCTCATTATTCAACATGTTTACAGTTAGATGTTCTATTATCATATATAATCATTCGAAAGTACTAGTCTCTGTGTTCAGGTAACTCACATGACACAGACTACAGCATCTGTTGTGGACACAGCATGGAATTCAGTTTTGTATTGTCAAACTCTTGCCTTTCTTCCTGGTTTCTCCAAATGTAAGAAGGTCATGGGGTGGGAGTGACCAGATGAAATCACTTACAGGTTATCCACGAGACAAAGCCAAGGAAGCCCTGATAAAGACAACCTCCACTCACGTCATATGACAGACAGAAAAAGCATATCTGGGTCTCTGCCCTGCTCAGTAGGAGAATGAGGACTCTTGATGGCAAAAGACGGAAACTCAAACCAGTTTGAGAAAAAAAGGGAGACATTATTAGAAGGCTTATATCCTCATCTGGGAAGAGCAGAGATGGCACTGGACATCACAGACAGCTGGCACCAGGGACTCACAAGCCCCCAGCATGCTCTTTCTTTTCTCTACCTCTCTCTCTGAGTCAGCGTTACTTCTCCCAAACTGGCTTTGGGAGTGAGCTCTTCCTCACGTGCAGCTTAACCCTCAGACAGAGATTAGCTCCCTCTCCCCAGTTCCAGTTGCAAAACCCCCGAGGAATGACTCTGTTGGTCTGACGAGGGCCAGGTGCCTACTCCTACCCCCAGATAATGGAGACTTTCCTCAAAGGAGGGGAAACAGAGGCCCCCTCAGTCACCCTAATTCACATCTACCACCACGTGTGGCAGGGGGCAAGTTTCTTTAACTTCTCTGAGCCTTGGTTTCTTCATTGTAAAATGAAACATTTGGGGAGGGGCACAAAAATAACACCTTCTTCAAAGAGCTGTTGATCATTTTACATAGATAACCAATGTCAAAGGCCGCTGCAGTGTCTGCTATATGCGAAGCATCAATAAATGTTCATTTTTCTTCCAAGGTGAGTCTTAAAGTCAAGGAAGAAGTCAGCACGCTAAAATGGAGAGGAAGATTATTTGGAGCACAGGGAACCGAATGGGAAATGCTGTACAATTCAGAGTAAGAGGCACTATAGGAGTTGTTAAAAGGAGGGCAATTGAACCTTAAATCATTCCCACCATAAATCACCCATAAGGTCCATGTTCTAGAAAAAGGGGGGCTAGCATTAGCTATTGGGAACCTGGAATGTCAAGTTGACCAATTAGTCTGTAGCTTGTGAGACATTCTTCACTATCGAGGGGAAGATTATTTCAGTCAAGGAACATTTTAGGGCCAACATAAAAAGAATTGTAAAAGATTTGGATTTTGATGAACTCCAGGGAGCAAACGCTGCATTTGCTCACATTCCCTTTATAACGTGTTGGAGCGAGGCCAATGAACATGCCCAGCTGTGCAGCAGGGTAACTTGAATTTACTACTAGTTCTACAAAAATATTCCCTATGTTGTCTTCCCTCATACATTTTATCCTTAAGTTTTATGAGAGGAAAAATAGACTTTATATTATACACGTCTTAGGTAAGATTACTACAGCAATGGAGCACTGAAATCAATAGATCGTAAAATTTCCAGTTTTCCCAAAGCTTAGAGAATTTAGTACATCTAAGATTTGGCGTTTTTTGCATTTGAATCAATTTGACTCATACCAACATCTGTTCCTGATAAAATAGTATGAAATGTAATGTCTTCATGGTGGCACAGAATCAAACTCTACCCCCTCTCTTTGCTCCTCATCCCTTTCTTCGATAGTCCCCATATCATCTCCTCTGGTCTGTAAATGACCGTGATGCCTTACAACCCAATAGTGTGGGCTACTACTGGCAGTGACCATACTCCTCATCACCTGTGGTATGTGGCATCTGGTATGGTGGAACCTCACTACCTGCCAGTTTCATCCCATACCCTTGAGCTTTGATTCAGCACAGATTCTGCCTCCAAGACCCACTTGCCCTGAGGAAGTCTTCTCTTACTATCCCAGCACACAGGCATGTTCTCCTCTAAGCTCTTACTTGTAGCATTAGTACCCTGATCTTAATCACAGTGTGCCTAGTTTTGCAGCTTGATTTCTACATGCCTACATCTGAGACTTTGCTGTGTACTTGTTCCCCGGCACCCAGCACAATGCCAATGCATACTCGAGGCTCCATAAGTACACGCAGGAATGAATGAATGAATGAATGAATGAGTGGAATACTTTTCTACACAGCTTGGCATTTTCAGTTTTGGGAATCGGGATCTATATCAGACTTAAGTCTAAAGACAGCAGATTTTGGCTCAATTCTGTCACTTACTCACAACAAATTGTCTCATGGATCTGGAGAAGCTTAGATCAACATATGAAGATAGAATGAAACTGGTTGTCCTTAAGAATGGCATGGAGCTGCAACCAAGCACAGAGGTGGGGATACAGACAGGAGATGGGCTAGCATCCCAAATCCTGGTCCAGGAACCAAGTGACCTGCATTCTGTCCCTGGTCAATCACTAAAAAGAAGATTCTGTCATCTAGGTCAAGTGATTGAATCTTCTTGAGCCCAAGAAAATTCATAGACATCTACCAATGTATGTACAAATTTCCCCTCTTCATCAGTGGACAAATTTCCGCAGGGCTCAAGAAGCATCCATTTGAAGGTCTAAGGCCATCAAGACCACTGACAGGTGGCCTTCAGAATTAAGGACCAGCTATCCACTCTCCCTTGACACACCAGCCACCCAAGCATCCCCTTACACTGGAAACCAGATTAGCTAGAGGAAGGGGGAAGGGAGAGAAACTCCCAAAGACTGAGCACTTACCAGTAAAAGCCTGAGTTTACCATTTTAAACCAGAAAATAGAGGTATCTGTCCACAGTTTTCAAACATAAATTCTTCCTCAACCCCTAAATCATCTGTGGAATGGGCTTCAAAAATAAGTTGAGATCAGTTAGACTCTACAAGAGAGAGCCCCACAATGCTGATCAACGTTCGTTTGGTGAGAGATCCACTGCTTTAACGAAGTCATTCCACACCATCCGTTAGAAGATCCAGTACCAGTGTCTAAGGCTGAGTTTGGGATGAAAAGAGGCAGAAGTTCTAAAACACTTTTAGCATCTTTCTATAAATATATCTAGTTCAGCTGTTTTTTTCAATTTCCGTGGAAATGAATGGCAACTCCAAATCTCCGAATTCAAATGTTTGTTATTCTAACTTAGGTTCACGGGTCTGGTTCTTCACTTGGTGTTGCTTTAGGGCCACACTTCCGAACCTCCCCAAAGATAAGAGCCATGAGGTGGCCTGCCCACAGAACCAAGCCCAGGCTCCTCCCATGGAAAGTCAGGTTCAGGAGGTTGGGGTGGACCCAGGAGTCTTTGTTCTTTAATGAGGGCCCCCAGGAAGGAGGGGAAACACTGCTTTAAGTCGGCCCTTCTCAGAGTGTGGTTGTTGGACCAGCAGCATCATCACCGGGGAACCGGTTCCCAATGCAAATTCTCAGGCCCACCTGCACCTACTGAATCAGACGCCAGGTGTGGGGTGCAGTAATCTGGATTTTTACCATGTCCTCCAGATGATTTTGAAGCACGTGAAAGTTTGAGAACCACTGCCTTCAGGAAATGACATACAGAGGATGACAAACGTTTCTTATCACAAATAAATACCATTCATTCACCCACACTCCACCAACACCTAAAAACTCAGCAAGAATTTGTCTAGTATCCATGCATCCGACATGGTGTTAGGCTGCTGTGACAATGGTCCCCAGACTTTGCTGCATATTTGAATCAATTAGACGTGGGGAGATGTTAAAGCGCCCCTGCCCAGGTAGCACCCCAGAGGGACCAAATCAGAATGTCGGGGGCGGGAGGCAGGCATCAGCACTGGTTTAAGGCACTGAGGTGATTCCAGTGTGTAAAGAAGATTAGGAACCACCATCAAAAGCACTAACACAGCCCCTGAGATCAGACTTGCCAGAAAAGATCACAGCTACAAATGCAGACAAGAGGCTGGGATGGCGTAGGGCAGGCCCAGCAGGGACACTATCCTTTATGGGTTCAAACGACTAGAAGATGCTTCCTAGAAGTCACCAGAGAGTTGGAAACACATTCTCATCCTCTTAAATGTTCCTCAAGAGTCAGCAAGAAGTGGATAGGTCAGAAGTGGAAGGATGAAGGCTGCCCCCATCTCCTCCGTTTTGACTCTTTCCAAACACACTTGAGCACTATTAGCATTTTAATTAACATCTGCCACCCTAATGGGGCTTGGTAAATAGCTACTGAGTGGGTCCCTGGGTGCAGAATGATGGTGAGGAAGAGGAGGAGGGGAAGGGAGGTAGAAAGGGAGGAGGAGGGAAGAGCTAACTTCCACGAGAGGTTCCCATACGCCAAGCCCAGGGTCTCAGTCATCTTCTTATCGGACCTCACACAGCAGTTCCCTTTTGCAGGGGGTGATCCAAGGCCAGGGCTGGTTAGGAACTTGCCCCTGCTCACATCTGTGAGTGGCGGAAGCACTCCCCAGTCACGATGCCAAGGCTGCCAAGGGATCAAGGATGCCCGGGGACAGGAAAGAGACTGAGAGGACAGGCAGAGCTTGCTTGAGGCTCGCTGAGTTCAGATCTCTGGCATGGTGAGACACTAAAAACCAGCCTCGCCATCTGGTTTAATCCAGGTGGATATTCTGGATTGGGCGGGAAGCGATGGGAGGATTCCTACGAAGTCCAGAGCAGCTGGGATGAGGCCGAGGGCATGGCACAGGGGATTGGAGCAGGAGCGATCTACCAGTGCGCACAGGTGGATTTCCATTTTCAAACAACTGGTACGCACATCAGTGTGTACCAGCAAAATACAAGTCCTGGTTTAACCTGGTGCCGATACAGAGCATAAGGTTTTTTGCAGCTTAGGAGATCTGAATTTTTAAAAAGCCCTTTGGCATCCTCCTTAACCCATCCTGAATGAGGTCCCAGATGTCTCAGCTGGGCCACAGAACAAGCACATTCGTGAGGACGCTCTTCCCCTCCTTCCGCCAGAAGGCCGTTCTGGGGGCTCTGTTTGGAAGATGAGGCAAATAACTTTTGCACATGAAGAACCTGGCGGGTACAGCGGTAGGGAGAGAGAGGGAGAGATTCCTAAAACATTACTCAAATGCATCTCAAATTTCACATTTGAGCTGGGAAAAACACACCCAAAATACAACTAACAGGAGCAGCTCAGAGCTTCAGTGTTGCAAGTTTTCAGTCAGCTACGGCAAGAGCGCGTTGCAGTTTGGGCAACTTCCCAGAACTGGTCATCCAGCGGGGCGGGCGGGAGGCAGGAGGGAGGAGGGAAGGAGGAGGAAGGGAGGCAAGAGGGAAGGAGAAGGTAGGAGGCCACAGGAAGGTCAGACGATTGCCACAGGGCTGGGAGTCTCAGGAGACCATGGTGAAAACAAATCATGCGTTTGCCGCTTCAACGACGACGTCAACCAAATTGTGGAATAAAAACTCGTAAAGAAAAATATGGGCTGATATACATTGTTTATGAAATACTATGGCAAGCGTTTTACACAGATTTAAGGAAATCCAAGCACAAGAAAAGGGGTCATCCGATGCCACAGGTCTGTGTCAGGCGAAAGGCTGAGGGACCCTGGTTTGAATTCTAAGCCAAGCATCAAATCATTATCAGTCAAGAGTTAGAGGGTAACAGCAAAAACTGAGCTATTTGGATGCAAAATCTGCCTAAAAGCTAAATGTTAGCACTGCAAAGATCTCAGTTACTGGCACAGCATTTCTAACAGTAACAGCCAGCACTTACGGAGGGCTCACCATGTGCAGGCACCTGTCCTGACCACATTTCAGACGCCATCTCCTGTAACCCGCACAGCAACCCCACGTGCAAGGCGCCAATCCTGTCCCCATGGTACAGAGAAGGAACTGAGCAGGCCACTCAAGTGCTACGTGGCAGAGTCGAGTTTTGACTCCAGGCAACCTGAGCCCAGAGCCCATCACTTCTTTATATTGATGAGCCCTTTTCTCATAGTCTTAACCACTACTGTTGTCTGGGCACTCACGTTGTTCCAGGTACTGCTCTAAGCAGTTTACGGGTATTAACTCATTTACTTCTCATTGTGATGAGATACTATTTCATCTTTTATGTTTTTTACAAATGAGAAAACTGAGGCACAGAGAAGAGAGGTACATTTCTCCAGATCTCGTATATAGTAAGTGGTAGAGCTGGGCTTCAAAACGCAGTTGTCTGGTTCCAGGGCTCTGAACAGCCAGCAACTGCCTAAGAAACACCCACATCAGGGTGGAGGGAAAGCACACATTGATGTCGGCACCCTCTGAAATCTAATCAGTTTCACCAGTGGGGAAGATTTCCTTCTGGCCGTCCACATTAGGGACATGGGAATCACCAGAATAGACGATAAGCACACTCCTTGGTGTTACTGCTGGGGCCCCGGTTTATCAGATGTGGTTTTACCCTGGGTACCACACTTTCAGCACAGACAGGCTGGGTCTCCACCCAGGTGAGGGCATCCCTGAACTCCTTTGTTTTCTCAAAAAGACAGCCTCTCACATTCCCAAGAATGTGAATCTGCCCCAACTAGCACCTCAGGTAACAGGCCCTCCAGCCCTCAGAGGACCCAAGCTCAGACTGAGTGCCAGCCCGCTCTCTCCAACTCAGACCTCTGCTGGAGGAAGAGACACTCATGGAAGGATACACCTGCTCAAGGTCCGATCCTTGCATTTAGACGGACCGCCATAAGGCTAAACACCTGGGCTGTGTCGTCCTCGTCCCTTGCAGAATTTCTTCACTTGAGTTGCATTTAAATATTTTGCTGTCAACATTTATCAAAAATCCTTTGTGAAGTAGTCAAATGAAACCCTTACAGCATCTGCCATGGGAAACTTTCGAGGCTGCTTTCTACCGTCTCACACAGTCGCCATAGGAAAGACCCCATAAGAAACTTTCCTTTCTTTGCTTTTAAGCTGAGAAAAGCTTTATTTGTCTTGAGGAAATAGGAGGTTTTATCATTTCTGAGCATGAAAACTATGTTCTAACTGTCCATCTCTTTTCCTCTCTAACTCAATCTCATTTTTTAAAGCTTCTAGGAAGCTCAGAGTCAAACTTGAAATTGAAGATATGGGCCTTTATAACCTGTATCACGGGCCTCAAAACTGTCTCACCGTCCTCGTAGGAAAAAATTTAAGGACAACCTCCTAATAGATGTTTATTTGTTTGTTTGTGTATTCACAAATTATATGCATGTACCTGATTATATATTCTAACCTGATATTTTAAAACATGATATACGCAAAGGCCAAAGTTCATTGTTAATAACTGAGGAAGGATATAAATCCATATTTCAAGGGTCTCCTAATAATTTCAAAATTGTTTTAGCTTCTTTTATCCCTGACTAGATTGGACTGTCATTATATTTACTTTTTTTTTGTAATTGAAGTATAGTTGACATACAAGGCCATGTTCATTTCAAGCGTACAACATAGCGATTTGACATTTGTATACATTACGAAATGATCACCACAATAAGTCTAGTAACCATCTGTCAACACACACAGTTATTAGAGTATTATTGACTGTATGCCCTGTGCTATACCTTACATCCCTGGCATGAGATCTACTTTTAATGAGCCTGACAAAGAACTTGCCCAAGCCGTGAAAAGTACCAGCCTTGCCATTTTCTTCTTCCCTTGAAGATAATACCAGTCCAATGAGCAAAATCAGCAGTTTCTTTGCAGGAATATTTTTAAGGTACTATCCTTCATTTGTGAAGATATACTTAAACACAGATAATATAAACCAGAAATCCACGTAACTGGACACACATGTGCTGCAAGATGCCACATCTTGCCGAGAGCAACCAAGCAAAGGAGGAGGCTCTGTGGCCTCTCTGGGTGTGGGACATCTGCCCAGAGCTCCACGGGACACCTTCCAGAAGAATCACAGGCCAGCCGAGGGAAGCGCATGAAAAGCACGTGTTAAATATTAATAAATCTTAGTGCCTCTCATTTTAGGATGAAAAATGTCTCTAGCTGAACGTTCTAATATATTTTCTTCCCATACGACAGTTCATCTCATGTACACAAACCCATTTGGAAACGCTCTGTCTGTACCTCTATCTGTTTTTACCTTTTCCCAGTCCTGACTTCCCAGTCTTTTGCGCCGTCACTGTTTATATTTCTACTAACCACTATTTTTGGCCTGAGTTCTCATTAAATTCTTTATGGAATGAGAGTGTACATTCCTACACGTTGTGAACAGAACAAATACAAGAAACTGAACAAGAACTCTTTTTTCTCAATGTCTGTATTATTATTTTAGCTAATTGTATATTTGGGAATCTGTGAATTTTGGGTTATTCCGAACACCTACGTCTCCAAGCATTTCAAGGTCATGTTCGGAGCAATAAATGTGAGCTAGCATTGATCATCAACTGGAACGGAAACATTTAGACTTAAACAAGATGTTAAATATCTACCAAATCAGAATTAGGTTTGGTGACAGAAACCCTCAGAAAATAGTGTCTTAAAGACACTAGGTTTTATTCTCTCATGTGCAAGAAGCCCAGAGGAAGGTTCTCTGGGGTTAGTCTGGCAGCTCCATGATCTTGTCTGGGACCCAGCCACCTTCAGTCTCTCCCAGGATGTGGTCTTCATCCCTGCGATCTAAGACGGCAGCTGGAGCTCCAACCACCATGTCCACTCTCCAGGCTGACAGCAAGAGGGAGGAGGGGGAAGACGATGCCCCTTAAGGACACACCACAGGAGGCGCCACCCCAATCCCTTTATATGGCCTTGGCCAGAATAGAGTGAGACAGTTGTCTGTTTGGGAGGGGGAAACCAGGGAGAATGGATGTTGGGAAAACAACCAGCAGTCTCTGCCACAACCGCTGTAAAACTCGAGATTTTCATTAGCAAAGTACAGGCCCCATACTAGAATCGCCTCCAGCAGAATTCTGATTCTAGACCACCAACTTATGACTGATCCTGATCATAGTTTTTCCATTCAAAGACCCATTATCTATTACCACCCAGGGGTATTTAACATAAGAATCATCCCAGGAATGCTTTGCACATTGAAGAAGCCCTGAAAAATGACTCTGAATGCACAGTTAATATGGACGTACCAAAAGACAAACTTTTTCTGATAGAAACCATAGTAAGTATATTCCTAAGACATTGCTGTACATCAGGTTTTGCAAATCTGATCCTCCTTCAAATGCATTAGGAAAGTTAGCTATTTAATGAAACCCACAGTGAATCTGGGGGAAGACTTCCATCTTATCATATGAAAAATCACACTGTAACACATCTGTCCCAGAATCTGAAATGTTCACTTATCAGATTTTCCTAAATTAGTGCAATTTCTCTGGTGACTTTAACAGACTAAAAGAAAGCCTCTGAAGCAAACCTAAAATGTGACTGTCATAATGGGTCATTATTTCCCTTTTTAAATCTCATCTCGGCACCACTGTATGTTCTCTAGTAGAGATCCCTTTGGTGAGATGGTCACTGGGCTTTTGCTACTTTCCCATCAAACTGCCTTCAACAGCTAGAGACGTGGGCAGATGCTGAGTGACAGTCTTCTGCTGCTGAACACGCATCAGGAGAGAATCCATTGTGCAACAACACACGTTTCTCAATTTTCAGATGCCAAATGTTCAAAATATAAGAATACCTCAAATGGTCACTCCCCAGAATAAGACAGGCAGTGGTCCATTCGTGAGCTCACACTCCATCAGTGACATCACACTCTAACCAGGAGGCTGTGCAGTTTATAACTAATCAACCAGAGAGCCGAAAATAGATAGGTTCTCCTTTCCTGGGCCTCCCCTCCCTCACCAAACCTGGAGGAGTTGCTCGCTTGAGTTTACAGGAAAAGTCTAGGAATGTGGATAGTTCCATTGAGCTGAAGAGTAAAACATGTTGGGGACAGAGGTTGAATTTCACTGTGCACTTTATAAATAAGAACATAGCAAGAGGTGTGGTTTCCAGAAAGCTGACACCTTATGAGCACGTTCACCCACCCACCGCCATTACCTGCAATCCATAAAGATGGAAGGAAATCTCTTCCTCTGTTTTGTATTTTTTTTCCTCTCTGAATTTTAAGGGAAAGAAGAAAATTATAAAATCAGGAGCCTGCACATCCCCTGAGACATTTAAATTTCAGCTGGACCAAGCACTACCCATGTATCACAGGCAACAATTTCACCCTGGCAGGGAAGTGGACTAAGTGACTTAATGGGTATTTTCCATCTCTAATTTCCATGATTAAAAGAAAGAGGTTGAGAGGGGGACATGTGGAGCCTATTGTGAGTTTGCCAATGAATCCTAATTTAGATCAAAGGGAGTCTATGTGACACTGAACCATAAACACCCTAGTGTGCGTTACTTCAAGGAAGTCGTTAGTGTGTCCCCGATGGCTATTATGTGATATAGTTGCGCTCTATAGCCTGCACCCTTTAATTACTAATATGGAAGAAAATCCCATATAAGAGGGAGGAATGTAAATGAGACCTCTGCTCTTTTGAACATTTTATGCATTTGCCAAATTAAAATTTGCTGTGGACTTTGGTTTTCCCTGACGGCTGTTGGTAGTGATCATTTGGCTCATGGGATTAAATCCGACTTTCCAAAAACTACTTCCGATCGGTATGCAGATTTCAGACCTTTATGTATGCTTTGCACTGAAACATGGATCATCAGAACCAGATTGGGAACAATTTCTTTGAAGTTTTCAAAGGTAGGGAAGAAATCCTCTTTCGTTCTCATCTTTCCTTGTGCTGAGCGTTATTCAGGGCAGGTTGAAGGCTGCAACGAGAGGGGGGCCTGTGCGGTCCAGGGGCCCAATGTCACGCCACGCCCATGCCCTACGCCCCCGTGCGTAGGTAGCCTCTGTGCAGAGAGGACTGGGCCTTAGGGATGTGGGTCTGCATCTGTAAGTGTGACCACGCATCTCTGACATGGAGCTTGCTCACACCAAGTTTTAAAGCACAATTTCAAGATGAGGACAACTCCAAATGTCAACTTGAACAGTACGGTTTTAATGATAATTCCTTCTCTAGGATTCTTCTGCCCTCAGTCTACGTGTAGAAAAAGAGAATTGATAACAACTTTGCAATTAAATTAAGATTAGTGCCCTGTACAAAAGCAAAGATGCTTATTAGACAGAATGACTACGGAAGATATTAACCATTCAGGGAGATTTGCCATGCCCAATTCTGCATCTTGTTCAATAAAGCAAACTCCTTCTTTGCCATCTGTCTCGTACTCCGAAGAGATAATAATAATAAAATCATTGCTTAATGAGTAAACTAAGTAGAGGATAATTCCCTGGTAGATCATATTGGTGTTCTTCTGCAAAGGATGCCATATTCTCAATGAGGCAGAGAACACAAGGGAGAGTGCGTGATCATGCACCAACGGGGATGCCTAAAATCAAAAACCAATGCAGCATATGTCAGTATTTAAAGCCCCATCAAAGAAACATCCAACTTTTCAGCTGTAACCCAAATATAAATTTTCCTTACCCTGTCAATTAGCAGATTACAAAACTTCTGCAGCAGGAAGACCATTCTGCCAGCAAAGCCATAGTGTTTGGAATGGGTCCAGGTCAGACAGATGGCGTGGAAAAGGGGTGCAATGAGACGTTCCCTACCGGCAAAGTCAACTGCTTCTCCACACAGCAAACGTAACCTTCGAAGGGCTGAGCCACGAGGTGAGTGCATCTCTCCCACAGCTGGAGAAGCACACAGACGCCTAGAATCACTAAAGTCGTTGGTGACAAGAGCAACAATGGGCTGCCTAAGGGAAGCATTTAGAGAAGAGAAGTATACAAAATAGTAAATAATTGGAAACCTTGTTCTTTGGCGTCTAAAAAGGGCCCCGTTTCATCCCCAAGCCAATGGGCATAAAAAGCAAAATCATATCTTCTCCAAGTAAGAACCTGATTGTTAAACTAGGATAATAGAGAATTCTTGCTCTCTTTCCAATGCTGACCATACCATAAACAGTCAAATGACGTAACCACGAGGGGAAGACAGGGGACATTTGCTATTCTATTATTAAATGCCACCTGTACATGTCACAGTCTATTTGCAAAACTGGCTCCCTCACAAACAGCACCTACTCAGCTGCACAGAGAAGCTTGATTCAGAACTTGATGGTTAAGGAAGTTATTATGCATAGTGGTAACCATAATAGCCCACTGAATTTTAAAAGTGAGTTTTAAAATATAAATACGATTGATGACTTTTTAAATTTTTTTAAGAATTTAAATTCCCTTTCATTAAGATCAAAGAAGCAAATCGACTTCCTTAACTTAAATATTTTTAGGTCAGTAAAAGTGTCTTTGTCGCTCTCTTTAAACTAATAGTGACCAAGCCACTCGTAGGCACCAACAACGCACTGGGCGTGTTACAGGTGTCAACTTAGTGAATCCTCTAAACAACCCTGCAAATGGAATTATTCTCATCATTTTAGAGGCAAGAAATTAAAGATCTGAGAAAGGAACCTGGCCACACTCTGACAGTAATTCTGACAGCACTGCTATTTCAAACCCCGGGGACTGGCTGGAAAGCCAACTTTCTCTCCCCTCCATCTCAACGCCCCCAATGAGGGAGTGGCTACTTGTCATAAGTTCCGAGTCATCCTTTTGTCTTCAAATGGAGAAGTACCACCTGATGATGCGTGGATGAAATGGCTTAATGCAGAAGAACCAGTTGTCTTTACATCCTAATTCCCATGTTAGCTAGCTCCAGGGCTTGGCTAGTGGAAGACGATTCTGCACCATGAAGTGATTGGCACCCAAGCACAAGCTGGAGTCTTACTTTTGGGTAATTCTTCCTGAAGGTGTTCCTGCATCACCAAAAACCTGGTTCCACCCTGATGTCTGTCTTCTGACAAGTGAGTGAAGCACAACACGCAGGTGGTCGTGGCACTTTTGATCTTCTCTGTGGCCTTCTTCCACCAAATCCTGATTCTTTTCCTCCTGCTGTTTTTCCAGAGACTGGGGGTGGCAGGGGTGCTCTATGTGGAAACAGCACTGAGAGGAAGACACGGAGGCCATTATTCTGATGATGCTAGGCTAACTTCTTTTCAGCTGCTTTAGCAAAAGTGGACTCTGCCTTCATACAGAGGCTGGGTTTTCTTGGATGTGATCTTGCTTGAACAAAATAGGAGGGAACTCACATGTCATGCTCTGTCTACAATAGACTCTGATTAAAGAGAAAAAAGACCTGGCAATGCATTTGATGCTATAGAGATTTCAGAACCAAAGCAAGGATGACCTGCCGAGCCTGGAGTGAAATGGTATGACTAGCACCACTGTTCTCACTTCAGAACGACCTGTAAGAAAGATGATCCAGTGATTAAAACAACAATTAACTTGGTCATCAGTTTCAACTTTTCAACCCAGGCCCCTGCCCTATATCCACACCCTTTGAAGAGAACTAAAAAAAAGCACAAAAGCCTCATAGAAGTAACAATTGCTTATTTTAATGTTGGCAACGTATAAGTGACAATTATGTTGTTAATTGGTAGTTATTTCAATGAGTTGTCATCCATGCGGATTGTTCAGATTAGCAATGTTGTTTTTGCATTGTGATTAAACCACTGAGTAGCTGTAGAAAAACTGTGTATTCCATGATAGATGCATTCTGACAAGTCCGAGGAGAAAAAACGCCAAGCTCCTTTAAAGATACAGATGACTTTTAAAAGTAGCTGGAAGATATAAAGTCTTGTTAAAATGTGATTTTTAGCAGAGGGCTAGATTAATGAAATGCAATGTTTCATTAAAGAGGTTTCTTTCTGTGTAAATGAAGTATTCATTAGACAGAAGGCATGTTAGCAGCATGGTTACAGAGCAAACCATGGAAACTACAACCCCTGCCTAGAACGAGGCTAGTAGGGCCTTGCATTTGTCCCTGGAATTCTCTCTCAAATTCAGGACATGGGCTGGTTTCTTTTTAAGGATGGAGACCAGAGCAAGTAAAACCCCAAAGAAGTCTGGCCTGAAGGAAAGATTTAGAATAAATTCACAGCCCAAGACTGAATAGAAATTGTTAATGCTACAGCTTTAAAAACAACAACTACTACTACTCGACATCTTACATAAAAGTTTTCTGTGGCTTTCCAATCTTGCAAAAGCAGATTAAATTTCACAGTTTTCTACTATATAGAAGCTTTAAGTCATAGCCATTTGATTAGTAACATAAAAAAGTGATCTTGAAACCAGCAACTCAAGACTGGCCCCTCCAATCCCATGGGGCTGTCCTGGCCACAAGGTGGCAGCTGCCCAAATCTTGGGTTGGAAGTAAACAGAGTCTAGAGGCCACGTCATAGTTTCTGCATAAATTTGGACAAAAAGCATTCATGTTACCACGCTTTTATTTATTTCTTCTTAAATTAAGTCAAGCCAGTAAGCCTGGCAATAATTCTGCTTAAATTGGAGCAATACTCCTTTTCTGATCAACTGTTATCTATATATTTTTTTTAATTCACCTTTTTGTGGTCGTTTGCATCTACGCACTATACCTACCCTTCTCCCCTCCTCCTCCCCACGCCCCACAGTATTGACATTGTGACACTACAGTTCCATTTGCTGGAGCATTGGGCATCTGTGGGTTTAGCTTGACTAGGATTATTTTCCTTGCTTCTGGTAGTAGGACTCTAATTTTTCTTTGGAGAATCACTCCTCATCTGCACTATTCCTCAAGGGTTAGGTGGGACAGTCACCCCCTCCCAGGCTCAGGGGTGGACATATGTCTCAGGCCTGATCACTCAGGTCGTTCCATTCCTCTGGCCACAATAAATGGATCAAAAATGAGCACAGAACTCAATCAGTCTGGTAAGAACCCATCTTGGAACTTTTTCTGGAACTCCTAGGAAAGAAAAAGAAGCACACTTTCTTCAAGAATTATTGGGAGGGGATTGTAAGCTCAGAGATGCTGGGGCCACCACATGAAGGAACCTAAGAGAGAGGCTTACACAGAACAAAGCAGAGTCAAGACAGAGTGTTGGTTTCTCACAGGGACACTGGTTAGCAATGCAGTGACTACTTGACATTTTTATAATAGGGTTGAGCAACTAGGTAAACATAATGTAAATAAAGAAGCCAAGTTTCTCACTGTCAGAGAAAAAAGTTAAGAATAAGGAAAGAGGGGAGGCTAAATGAACCCCAAGATTTTGGATTGGAATTGGAGGTACCAGTATGAATTCATGGCTTTTTAATACATACCCAAGTAGACAGAAATAAATATGTGTGTGTGCATGGGTTATTGTCACGTATTTTCTAGGCTCGTCTTCTGAGAAGGCCTAGATGCAGCAACACTCCAGTAATGATGAGCACACTCAGCACCCAGATCTTGGGTTCTAAATACGGTTTTCCAATAAAAGAACTAGGGCCTCCTGAAAAAGTGATTGATTCCAGGACGGCGGACATACGATGAGTCTATAGTACCTCAAGGGGCTAGAAAGTAGGGAAGGGCTCAAAATAAGGATGGAGGCATGGCAAAGGGCTTGAAAGAGCTCCAATAGCCAAAGCTCAACAATTTGAGCAACAAAATAAATAATGAGAGTATTAGATTATAATCCACAGAACAAAATATTCATGAGTCCATAATGATATCAATAAAAACTGAATAAATAAATCAATGGAGGAGAAAAGACAGCTCTTTTTACGGAAAAATTCCAACCAATAAATGTAGATGGAATGAAGGGAATATAGAAAATTACTGTTAGAATAATATAGTAATAATTGTCACAGGCCAGATCTAGCAATGGTTTCTAAAATTAACGGGCAAAAGTTTGAGGAGAAATAAGATATTTGTGCAGTCTCAAAGTATCTCCCCCAAGATATGTATTAATTACAAAGGGAGATATAATAACTTTTCATTGGAAAAACCCAGCAGACACCATGTTATATTACCATTACCAGTAGTATGACATACTGACAACACATACCCCCAACATGAAAGACTGAGAAGAGTGTATAACTTCTGAGGTATTCACAAATGCATAACCTCAATGTAGTCATGAGAAAATGTCAGACAAACCCAAAATGAAGGATGTTTTACAAAATAACTAATCAGTACCCTTTAAAAGTATCAAGGTCATGAGAAACCAAAAAGATTGAGGAAACGTCACAGAATGGAGGAGACTAAGGAGACGTGACATCTAAATATGATGTGAGATCCTCAGTTGGATACTGGAACAGACTTTAGAGGAAAAACTGGTGAAATTCAAATAAAGCCTTTAGTTTATTTGTGTTGTACCAGTGTGAAGTTTGTAGTTTTGGGTTTTGTTTTTTTTTTTGAGGAAGATTAGCCCTGAGCTAACTGCTGCCAACCCTCCTCTTTTTGCTGAGGAAGACTGGCCCTGAGCTAACATCCATGCCCATCTTCCTCTACTTTCTATGTGGGACGCCTACCACAGCATGGTGTGCCAAGCGGTGCCATGTCCGCACCCGGGATCCGAACCGGCAAACCTGGGCCGCCGAAGCGGAACGTGCAAACTTAACCGCTGCGCCACCGGGCGGGCCCCTGCAGTTCGTAGTTTTGATCATTGTGCTATTGACGCGCAAGATGTTTACATTAGGGGAAGCTGGGTGAAGGGTATATAGGAAGTTTCTGAACTACTTTTGCAGCTTCTCGATAAGTTTAAAATTATTTCAAAATAGTTCTTGTACTATTTTGTACGGCATGGTGACTACAGTTAACAATACCGTATTGCATATTCGAATGTTGCTAAGAGAGTAAATCTTAAGAGTTCTCATCACAAGAAAAGAAAATTTGTAACTGTGTGGTGATGAGTGTTAACTAGACCTATTATGGTGATAGTTTCACAATATATATAAATATCAAATCATTGTTATACACCTGAAACTAATATAATGTTATATGTCAATTACATCTCAATAAAAAAAATAAAAATTAAAGTAAATTTTTAAAAATTTTAATAGTTTTTTAAAAAAATAGAAAGGTGAAAGTCAAGGGTCATTGAAGATTAAAGGGCAGTAGAGAAAGAACAGAGGAAGACCAGGGCCTGATGACACCAAATGAGCTCCTGGATCAAGCTAGCACTGAAGCTAATTTACTCTGGGACTTCTTGGTTGTCCCTGGACAAGGGTGCAAATAAATTTACTATGCCGAACAATATACTAAATTAAACAAGTAAAGCAAATTCACAGGCCATTGAGAGGAAAGAAGAGGAAAAAGGTACAGCAAGGAAAGCAAATAGTTTCACTTTACAAAATGTTGGAATAGTGTCATTAGTATCAAAAAACAAAGACAAAACCCACCTTGAAATGTTCATAAATATGCCTTTCCAATTTGCCCAATACTTCTGAACACCACTTTGGGTTATCAACTGAATTCATTTTTTGCATAGAGATGCTACCTAACTAAACAGTGTGCCTGAGAAATGCAAGAAAACTCAGCCCTAAACATCTTTCTATTGGCCATGCCCTAGAACATGAAATTCACAGCGTCCAACCCCTTTTGAGTTAAGGCCTTGAAGGTCTTTACT